GCAATCCGAGAACGTGCATTTTCCTCCTTAGACCTTCCTGACAAACAACCTTTATGCCCTTTTTGATGTTATGTTGGTTACGCTAGTGAAATAGCCCCCCTTAGTTACTGTTGCTAAGTCCGACAAACTGTCGGAGCTGTCGGACGTTTATCAGGCGCTGCCTGTTGCTGCGCTCTGCTGACAAAGATTGTCAGATTTGTTGGAAAAAGCGACCTCAGACAGAAGCAGACAGTTTAAACATTTGAAGGTTGTTTTCAGGCTGTTAAACGACTCAGACTTACCACCGCATCCGCCGAGGACTGAGACAAAAGATATAAGATAACGTTGTTAGGGATCAGCTGTGTTCCTGTACAGCCGGTCGGCCTCTGTTCATTATTACAGTCTTTAAAAAGCAGAACAGCTGGACTTTATTACGTTACAGTCAGCAGGAAGTTAGTTAACTAACATCACGTTAGGAACAACCCACAGCCGACATTTTTCTCGATTTATTTTAGGTTTTGTAACTTAAAGAGAATAAATCTTACTTCTCCTTTCAACCTCTCTGGGTAGCTGCTGTAACAACATGCCGCAGTAAGAGCGTTTGACCAGATCTTAGAAAAATACGACAGAAGAAAACTAGAAAACGACTCTTTTTGCATTCGATTTTTGACGCGATAACGCGAATAAACACAACTCGCCATTACTACGACTGTATGAAACCAAAGTAAATATTTTGCTGTGTTTACATAGCAATACACGGATTAAACTGATGCCGAAATAACTACATCATGATGCAGATTTGTTAAACATATGAATTCATACTTTGTCAGGTCTGTCAGCAAGACAGCAGGACAACAACTTCTAAAATGTTTGTTTTCTGAATGGAGTTTGGATCGGTCAGGGCTATGCTATGCTAACTTGGTCATAGAAAAGTACAATGATAGCTGGAGTAAAGTTACAGACACGTGTTTTCTGAACTCACCGGGTAGTTCATCCTCATCGCTTTCTTTTCTCCAAGTAATGTCCAGATTTGATATAAATATGAAGTCGTAGTCCCACAGAGCAAACGACGCTAACAACAACACTGGAACCGGATGTGCACGGAAACTAGCTGCTGAGAAGCTCCAGTGAAGTTAAATCAACTTTGAAATCCCCAAAACTAAAGTAAAAAGCTAATTTAATAAAAGCAGTTAACTCCGCGCTCCTCCCGCGAGTAAACGGCGTAGTTGTCAGAGCAGAATCCGACCGATTACGGGTGTTTATTTGTCCAATGTTTGTAGCGCTGCTTCCTGCTCCTCTCCCCCAAGTTTGGCAGCTCTCTGCCGGCCAGCAGATTTTCAATGTCCCGCTCTGCCCGGCCCTCTCCTTTTATTTATTTATTTTTTAATCTTTATTGGCTCTCTTAACACACAAGACAAAGGTGTATTAAATGACAGTCAACGTCTTAAAGAAATATTCCAAGTCTAACCAAAATAATTTGATACAAACACAATCATGAAATAAATGACAGATGATTTCAGCTTCACCGCTGCTAAACACACACTTTTCCACAACATCTTTCATGACAGGATAAATCAAATGTATAATTTTAAATGAGACTTCTCTAATTTTGTTATATTGCTTGTTGATATTCCAAACTGGCTTCCATTCAATATTTTCTATTCTAGAATTCCAGAAAAGCTTGGCAGGAGGAGTTGTGGACTCCTGGCAGAGTCTCCCTAGAAAATTATTGGAGCATTTTTATCTGTGCAGCATACACCGTTTAACGTAAGAGTACCTTTAAGTTGTGGATGCAAGTTAAACATGCCACCACCTTGTATTAATCTCAAAAGACCAGAAGGTATTGCATCGAAAACAATAGCCAATTCTTTAGGTGTAACTGGAATTCTGTATAAGAGAACAAGAGTCCATTTTCATTTAGCAACTAACATTATATCATTTTTAACCCAGCTATTAAAAAATAGAGTTTTATTCCAAATTAAACATTTATGGGGTGAAAAGTTATGTTTATAAATAATTAACCAGGACAATAATGCTTGTTTATGATAATTGGATAGAGCAACAGGAATCTTATTTATGTCAAAATTGCATTGCAGGAGGAATTCAATACTACCTAGTTTTAAAAAATAATAAATTCTGGAATAAAGTACCATAGTTTATCCTCTCCTTGGATGTAATTTTTAATCCACTTGACCTTGAATATAGTGTTGGATGTATAAAAACCTACTATACATTTAGACCTCCTTCGCTATATGTGTTACATAAAACTTTATTTTTTTAAATAATGGGGTTTATTTCTCCAGACATAATTGTAAAGCAACGTGTCTATCTGTTTGACTAGTATCGGTGGGACATCTAGGACCAGCCTTGATAGTCCCTGACAGATCTCTCAACAACCAACTATCAAATTTATTTTTTTTTACTTTTTCAATCAATGGATTGAAATTCAAATCCCTTCTGTCTTGATTTTTGCATATTTTAATACCCAGATATGATACGATATCTTTTATAAGGATACTACATGTCAACCAAGTGATGGCCCTTATTATTTTTAAGGCAAAAAGCTCACATTTTTTTATATTTAAAGTTAGACCTGATACCGAAGAGAATACATTAACACATTCAATAGCTTTTTCTTCTTCTTCTTCATTCTGTAAAAAAATAGTTGTGTCATCTGCTTTTTTGGCTATTTGTATGCCTTTGAAATGATCTTTTTTAATGTGCTATTGTTTGCATGACTAACAAAAATAAGAAGCGAGCAGCCGGTTTAATCCCTCTGCCGATATTAAATCTAGGAGTGGTGCCAAATGGTAGTTTAACAGAACTATTACAACCTTTATAAACCGTCTGGATCGCACGTTTAAAATAACTTCCAAAGCCAAAAAAGTCTAAAGTATTAAATAAAAAACTAAGTCTAAAAACAAAATATAACCATTTTCATTAATAAACTGGTTGTAAGTCTAAAATTACACGAATATTATTACTTAAATGCCTTCCACGTCATTGTTTATTAAGGTTATCAGGTTTTCAATCATCAATAAGTCTTTATCTGGCTTAGGTATTAAGGAAATTAGCCCTTGAGACAAGGTTGGCGGTAGCTTCCCAACTTCAATTGCTTCTTTAAATACAAATAAAATAAATTCTGTAAGGTTATCTTGAAAAACTTTACAGAACTCACTTGTTAGTCCATCATTTCCAGGGGATTTATTATCTTTTAACTTAACTATATTACTTTTTATTTCTTCTAAAGTTATATTCTGGTCACACATCTTCTTGGATTCCTCGTCTATCGATTTTGCACTTTCCCTTATGGAAGAGAAGAAAGACGTATCATTATTATCACTCCCTTCGGTATTTAATTTTTTATAAAAGGTTGTAACAAAATCAGAGATTTTCTGACATTTGTCCATTAATATAAAGTTTATTCAAAGAGGAAAAAATATTTTGTATTTTTTCCCCCCCTTCTTCCAACCAATTCCTTCTAGATCTTAGAAATGCTCCTCTTGCCTTATCTTCATAAATTTGGTCTAAATCTAATTGTAATTTGGTTAAAGTATCCTCATCTTGTTGACGCAATATTTCTTTCCCATACATCTTGATTATTTCTTTGGTTATGAAGTCTTCTTTTATACGGTTGGCCTGTGCTATATCCTTCCCTCTCTGGATAGCCAATCTTCTAATTTTATATTTCATTTATTCCCAGTGCGTGCCATGGGATTTCAATGTTTTAGCCTTAATCCAACATTCATTAATAATTAATTTAGCAGCGTTCATCTTCTGCCCGGCCCTCTTCACACAACGCTCTGAAGCCTCGGTGACGTACGGACAGTCTCAACACTGATTGGCTATCACGACTCGGCGTCATGCGACTTCTTCGCTCGAGTTGAAAATATGTACAACATATATAAAAGAATGTGTTCTTTTACCTGTCAGATAAGAAGATGACACATGAACACACTGGGCCGACCATCAGAATAGACCTGCGGAGGAGCAAATGAATAACACGACAAACCAAACAACTTTAAACAAAAATAAATAAATCACGTTTATAAATCATCACTGAACATAGTCCGAGTTACAGCCCGCTTGGTATAACTGAAACAGCATCAGGCAGTTTCAACGTGGCAGCAAAGCAGAGGAGACTTCACTCGCCGCTCAGTCTGAGACGCGTCTTTATCTCTGGCAGCCGGTGATGTCACAGCAGTTCAAATGTTTATTTGCATCCCTTGAATACGTCACGGCTCTCAGCAGGAGTTAACTCGCCTGAGTCGATATGATATCGATGGATCTTATTAACCTGTATCATTTATTATAATAAACGTTTGTTAGTTTAGTCACCACCTTCCACCACCCTTTATTACAGATTAATGTTGGGACCCCTTCGGGGGCCCAGACCCTCAGGTTGGGAAACGCTGCTTCAGTCACAGTCTTACCAAATGTTTTGGACCACAGACTAAAAACAACAGGTGTCACTGATAAACAATCAATTAAACACTGGCAACACAATAACAGGGCCTGATGACATCACTATGACATCATCAGTTATTTTCTGAGGATTTGACGAAGCTGGTAGTGACACAGAGTCTCCTCGCCTGAAGAGACGCCGCCGCGATCTGCAGCCTCACCTGTGAAAAGGTCATTTAATGTGACATCCAACAGACGGGGGGAGGGAGGGAGAGAGGGAGGAAACAAAGGGAGGGAGGGAGAGAGGGAGTGCACAGAGAATGAAGTGAAGGTAACGAATAGTGAAGTGAAGGTAACGAATAGTGAAGTGAAGGTAACGAATAGTGAAGTGAAGGTAACGAATAGTGAAGTGAAGGTAACGAATAGTGAAGTGAAGGTAACGAATAGTGAAGTGAAGGTAACGAATAGTGAAGTGAAGGTAACGAATAGTGAAGTGAAGGTAACGAATAGTGAAGTGAAGGTAACGAATAGTGAAGTGAAGGTAACGAATAGTGAAGTGAAGAGGACCAACGGTTCCCGTGGCTCTCAGCTGACAGAAAGAAAGGACGCATCAGATCTTCAGTTCAGGACTCTTTATTGAATGAAGCAAAATAATGAAGAACCCCGATCCCCTATGAAAATAAATAAGTCAGTTTCTTTGTCTCAGAAGCGCCAAAAACACAACCTGCAGCCGATTACATCTCTTTATTCTCAAAACCAGGAGGCGTTTTGTTTCTTCCTCTCCCGCTCACAGAGTTCATTCAGCCGCTCGCCGGACAAGAAAAACAATAAAAACATGAGAACGTCCGACCCATTTTGGCACACGGGATAAATGTGAGAGAGAGAAGCAGAGGGGTTAAACTATAATCAGCAGTGCATTTGGTTCGTTTCAACATCCCTTCAAAATAAAAGAAAAACAAAATCCCAGTGTGCTGGTTAAGCGTTGCAGGGGGGAATAATGACTCTCCTGAACGAGCTAACACACCTGCACCTCCTCCACCTGCTGTAGTGACTCAAATATCACCCTCTCACCTGCTAGCCGGGGTCCCATTCGTTTACAATGGGGAGCGCTAACGATGCTAACGATGCTAACAAGCTGTTTATTAAAAAAGCAAAAGCATAAATGTTTCCTGAAACGTGAAGAAAAGATGACGATCGTGTGTGTGTGTGTGGGGGGGGGGAGTGATGAAGACGATGACATAATAACTGTTACAGCTGGAGTGTGTGTGTGTGTGTGTGTGTGTGTGTGGACGGAGGAAAGTGTGTGCGTGAACTCAGATTCAGGCTTCACTCCACCAGACGTTTCTGCAGCAGACGCTTGTTTCATTTTACGACAAAATGGCTGCCGGGTGACACTCGACGACCTCTTGACACGAGCTGAGAATCAAATCTGAAACCCTTTCTGGGTGAAATCAGACATTAGTCTGCAGCACGGAGCATCACAAACTGCCAAGAGCTGAAAGCTGGCGTTCTTTTACCGCACCAGACTACATTCAGATTTTTGCTCATTTAAGACTAGATTTTATTCAGATCTCCAAGTCGCGACAAAGACTTGGAGATCTGAATAAAATCTAGTGGCCTTCCTGCACTTAAATCTGATGGATTATTTATATTTTTAATCAACTAATAAGTTAACGTACAAACATAAATGCAAGTTAACCTTCCCCAGTTGTTACACGTGAAAAACACACTCCCGTTATATTGAGTGATTTCACATGAGCTTTGGCACATGCTGGATTAGATTTTGCACTTGTTCATTAATGAACTCTGTTTCTTGTCTTGTCCGAGTATCTGATTAAATCTTGGCTGCAAATTTTATTTATTTACTTGTTGTTGCTTCAGAAACGAGGTTCTTTTAACTTTACTTGCTCTCCACGCTTCACCAGCCGGTCGTTTGCGCCCACCTGGTGGGATATTTAACTTCGGAGGACTTTCTTTTGTTCACTGAAACTCAAAGTACGCAGAGTATCAGTAATATTGCAGTAATCCTGCGAATCAGCAGCTACAGACACGCAGAGTCGCCTGGTGGAGTCGAGCCCGACGCCGGAGTCTCGCAGTACTGCTGCAGCACGGCGAGTTTTCCTATGACTGGTCAAGTCAAGCAGTACCGTGTACTACTACTCCAACTGCATACTGCTTAGTACTCTCATGTAACCTGATCCTAAACTTCCCTAATATGGTCGAAAGTACGTGGACAGCCGAATGTGTACGAAGTATCCTCCATGTTGCGGTGTTGTTTACCGCGACTCGCTGTAAACAAACAGCAGCAGGCGTCGTGTCCTGATGCCACAGGTTTGATTTTTGGCAGCAGAGAACAAAAAAAAACACATCAGTAGTACTTATTACTCCGTATTACAAAGCAGTACACACTTTACTGTGTACTTGTTTTGTAATATGGAGTAATAACAGAAGGTGTCAAACACGTACTTTAGAATTTAAAACTATTTATTTTTTGGGTGAAAAGCTGTTTAAACGCTGCTGTTTTTAAATAAATACAGGCTGTAAACTTAGTAGTACTATGTCGTATGCAGTACTTGTGTAGTACACAATATTTGCAGACTATGTGTAGTATTTTCAGACTACAGTATGCAGTATAACTGTGTGTGTGTGTGTTTGTGTCCATGAAGCAGTTTGAGTGTCACAACTGAATCCAGGAGGGTCGGGGGTCAAAGGTCGGGCAGGTGAGGGTTTACTCCAGGTGCTGCAGCTCAGAGGTCTACTGCCGATCTTTGAACGCGTCCAGGCCGAAGGCGGTGTCCAGGAAACGCCGCAGCTCCATCAGGTGAGTGTTCTTGTTTCCTGTCGCCGGAGCCGCTGCCGGTTCTCTGCCAGCGTACCTGAGACACACAGAGGGGTCAGAGGTCAAACCAACCGCCGCCTGCTGACGGTGACACGTGTTGATGATGATGATGATGATGAAGAAGAAGAAGAGTATTACCAGACGGGCTTGGCTCTCTGGGTGGTGGTCCTGATGCGAGGCTTCACGTAGTCGTAGTAACCCTGGTTCTTGTGCTCCTCCTGACACCAAACCAGGTCGGCGTTACAGAAACGCTCCGACTCGGCCTTCACCAGGTCGAACGGGAACGGAGACAACTGTGGGGGGGGGGGGGGAGACAGAGGGGGAGAGGGAGGGGGAGAGAGGGGAAGACAGAGGGGGAGAGAGAGAGTGAGGGGGGGAAGACAGAGGGGGAGAGAAAGAGTGGGGGGGACAGAGGGGGAGAGAGAGGGGGGAAGAGAAAGGGGAGGGGGAGAGGGGGGATGTTTATCCTGTGATGCGTCTTCATGTCTCGAACATCAGATCTAAATCACCATCAGTGAAACATCTTAAGACATCTTGGCGACTGTCTCGTGCAGGCGTGACGTCACGCAGGCTCCTGCGTGACGTCACGCCGTGTTTGTGTGTTTTAAGGCCTTTTCGCACAGGAAGCGACACTCCGCCTGCGTACTCGCTCGGCCCTGCCGGCTTGCTCTGCTCTTCTCGTGTGAACAGAAACCGAGACGAGCGCTCCGCGAGTAAACGGGAGGCGCTCTAAAGATAGTAACCACGGCGACGGCTTCTGTGCGCTACTGTATTCCTTCATAGCCTCGATTACAGTAAAACTAAAAGTAACGTTAGTTGACAGGCTTATTATTCATAGAGCTCCCTTCCTACACGCTCGCCTCGCACTGAACACGATTTACGAGGCGCGCAGATCGCTTCACGGTGAGTACCTGCTCCATGCGAGCGATGGCCACAGTTCCCTCCATGCCTCTGCTCTTCCTCTCTTTGGTCAGCTCGTAGTAAACCTTCCCCGTGCAGAAGATCAGCCGCTTCACCTCCTCCGGACGCTCCGCCGCCACGCCGTCCTCCGGGATCAACCTCTGGAAGTGAGTTCCTACACCGAGGAGGAGGAGAGCGAGAAGGTCAGACTGAGCGTGCTCTCCACAAATGACTGCTAGTAATGATGATGACAGTAACAGTACCAGGCAGCATCATGTCAAAGCTGGATCTGGCCTCCGGGTGACGCAGCAGAGATTTAGGAGTGAAGACAATCAGCTGGAGGGACAAACAGGAAGTTTACCATGACAAGTGACTGTGGCTTTCAAAATAAAAGTCATTAAACATCAACACTGAAGTTCAGCTTCAAAATAGAAACTTTGCACTCAGGTTTAATTTCAGATTCACTGCGTACTGAGCGGAAGGTGCGTTTGTGTTCACACCGCAGATTAAATCCATCGATAAGCTGTGTGTGCGTGCAGGTGTGTAGGTGTGCGTTCAGGTGTGTAGGTGTGTGTTCAGGTGTGTAGGTGTGTGTTCAGGTGTGTAGGTGTGCAGGTGTGTGTTCAGGTGTGTGTGCAGGTGTGTGTTCAGGTGTGTAGGTGTGCGTTCAGGTGTGTGTGCAGGTGTGTGTTCAGGTGTGTAGGTGTGTGTTCAGGTGTGTAGGTGTGCAGGTGTGTGTTCAGGTGTGTGTGCAGGTGTGTGTTCAGGTGTGTGTGCAGGTGTGTGTGCAGGTGTGTGTGCAGGTGTGTGTTCAGGTGTGCAGGTGTGTGTTCAGGTGTGTGTGCAGGTGTGTGTTCAGGTGTGTGTTCAGGTGTGCAGGTGTGTGTTCAGGTGTGTGTGCAGGTGTGTGTTCAGGTGTGTAGGTGTGCAGGTGTGTGTTCAGGTGTGTGTGCAGGTGTGTGTGCAGGTGTGCAGGTGTGTGTGCAGGTGTGTGTGCAGGTGTGTGTTCAGGTGTGTAGGTGTGCAGGTGTGTGTTCAGGTGTGTGTGCAGGTGTGTGTTCAGGTGTGTAGGTGTGTGTGCAGGTGTGTGTGCAGGTGTGTGTGCAGGTGTGTGTTCAGGTGTGTGTGCAGGTGTGTGTGCAGGTGTGTGTGCAGGTGTGTGTGCAGGTGTGTGTTCAGGTGTGTAGGTGTGCAGGTGTGTGTGCAGGTGTGTGTTCAGGTGTGTAGGTGTGCAGGTGTGTGTTCAGGTGTGTGTGCAGGTGTGTGTTCAGGTGTGTGTGCAGGTGTGTGTTCAGGTGTGTAGGTGTGTGTGCAGGTGTGTGTGCAGGTGTGTGTGCAGGTGTGTGTGCAGGTGTGTGCAGGTGTGTGTGCAGGTGTGTGTGCAGGTGTGTGTGCAGGTGTGTGTGCAGGTGTGTGTGCAGGTGTGTGTGCAGGTGTGCAGGTGTGTAGGTGTGTGTGCAGGTGTGTGTGCAGGTGTGTGTGCAGGTGTGTAGGTGTGCAGGTGTGCAGGTGTGCAGGTGTGTAGGTGTGCAGGTGTGCAGGTGTGCAGGTGTGCAGGTGTGCAGGTGTGTGTTCAGGTGTGTGGGTGTGTGTTCAGGTGTGTGTTCAGGTGTGTGTGCAGGTGTGTGTGCAGGTGTGCGTTCAGGTGTGCGTCTCTCACAGGCTTCCTGAACGGGAGGAGAATCTGCCGTCTGAGGACGTGGAAGTAGTTTCCAGGAGATGAACAGTTCACCACGATCCAGTTACAGTCGTACAGCTGACGCACAGCAAAGTCCTCTGTGAGGGTCTGAGGGGGAGGAGGAGGAAGGAGGGAGGGGGGGAGGGAAGGAGTAGGGAGAAGGAGGAAGGAGTAGGGAGAAGGAGGAAGGAAGGAGGAGGAGGAAGGAGGGAGGAGAAAGGAAGGAGGAAGGAATAAGGAGCAAGGGAGGAGCAGGAGGGAGGAGAAGGAGGGAGGAGGAGGGAGGAGGGAGGGGAGGAGGGAAGGAGTAGGGAGAAGGAGGAAGGAGTAGGGAGAAGGAGGAAGGGAGGAGCAGGAGGAGGAGAAGGAGCTCAGCTCAGTGAAGTGAAACTTGTTCATTTGTTTGCATCAGGTCTGAATCTGATGAACAACTTAAGACACGAGTCATCCTGCTGTTTTCTGTCTGTGTGAATCTTCAACATGAATAAATGAATCACATTCAGTCTGTGGACAAAGGTTTGACAGAATCATTTAAAAGCAGCCACTAGTTGTAGATTTATCCCATCGTTGGCTCCCGTGTCTTCTGTTTCTTATTTCTAGATAATCAAACGCTCGCAGGGAACCGCTGTGCGTCTTCCTTACCGGCATGACGTCGGGGTCGTCGTTGCACATCTGGAGGAATCTCTCTGGACGAGCTGACGAATGTTCTGGACCCTGAGGACAGAAGCAGACAGAGACCAGGTTGAGAAGGATCCACATCGAGGTCGTTTGTTCCCGTTACGTTGAAACAAAACGCCATCAGCTGATGAGCGGCATCTGTTGGGCCACATCGCGACTTAAAATAATCTTTATATAACGCCAAGGTCATTTTTGGGTAATTATTTTCCTCCTGAAAGTTTTCGACCGTGTGAAGCACTTTGAAACCCTGCCGGGTGAGAATAAAGTTTATTTTATTTAAAGGTCGGCCTGTGCTCAGGCTCCTCACCATGCCCTCCATGCCGTGCGGCAGCAGCAGCACGATGCCGTTCTGTCGGACCCACTTGGCCTGACCGGGGCAGATGAACTGGTCGATGATGCACTGGGCCGTGTTGTGGAAGTCTCCAAACTGGGCCTCCCACAGGATCAGAGCGTTGGGACTCGCCATCGCGAATCCCAGCTCAAAGCCTGCAGACGTGGAGTTTAAAGAAGACATTTAATCTGCAGACTGAAAAGAAAGAGCGCGAGCAGAGAGTTCGGACTGACCCAGGACTCCGTACTCGGACAGCGAGCTGTTGCAGACGGTGTACGGCGCCTGGTCAGGGGAGAGGTGGTTCATGGGGGATACAGGTCCTCTTGTCCACGTTCTGGTCGTGGAGCACGTGATGACGGTGGCTGAAAGGGGACAAACAGCGTCAGTCAGCAGAAGTTTCTCTCTCGCTTTCCACAGACTGCTTCAAACCTGGACCTGGAAGACCTGGAAGACCCGGTGAGGGTTCTAGCAGGGATCGCCAGTGATGATCTAGCCGGTACGACGATCACGACATAAACTAACGTGTTCCTCTCTGCAGAAGTCTGATTTTAAAGACGTGAATTTAACCTGAACAACAACCGAACAGCCTCGACACAAAGAACAGCCGTCAGTGTTTCCTCCTGACAAATCTCCTGTTGAACCTCAGCTCCCATCGAGTTCAGTTCTTACATTATCGAGACTTTCAGTCACTTGACTTAATGCGATCCGACCCGCTGTCGAGCGACGGGACTCGGGTTCACAACGCTGCCGCAACATAACGGTGGGAGGTCAACACAAGATCTTCCGGGACATTTTACTTTCCCCTCTCGTTTTTCATGCGTTTACAATGACCGCAAAATCTGTAAACTTCTTTCCAGGTTTTCCAGGACCAGGATCTCCACTGTGTTTATACAAACCAGAAGAGCTTCAGGACCCGTGTCCACCAAAGCGTTTTTTTTAACCAGCTGAAAACGGCCAGCTGGGAGCGCTTTGGATAATTTACATAATTGAATAAATAAAGTGTGAAAACGTCACCGCAGAGCAGGGTCGGCCTACTTGCTCTGCACGAACACAAGGCTGACAGACTCTCCGTGCGTGGGCTCATGAGATTTTGCGGGCGAGGAAACACCTCGGCGTGTAGGCACATCGGATGCGTCCTGCCCCTCCTGCACTGTGATTGGACGGCTCGGTAAAAAGCGACAGAGCGCGGCGTTTTTTCCCCAAAGCTGAACAATTTTTCAACTCTCTGCGACCGGAAAAAAACACTCAGCGTGGAAAAGACGCTTTACCGGGTTGTAAACACGCGGCGCTCCCATTACAACCAATTGAAAAAAGGCGCTGGCGTCAGAAAAATCACGCCTTGGTGGACACGGGCCCTCAGGCCGGTGTGGACGAACTGCTTCACAGTAAGGCTGTTTCATAAATAGACACGATTATATTTATCAATCAACAAGACGCAACTGCGGAGAATAGAAGAAAGATTTAAATCAAATCACGTGACCACCCGCCGCCTCAGACAGCATCAGCTCTACCTGAAGGTCCCTCGCTCCACGTCCTGTCCCGACAGCCTGATGTGGATCCCCTCCTGCAGCAGCGATCCGAAGGCCATGTACTCTCCCAGAGCCCAGTCCACCGTCCGGTTCCGAATCATCTCGGCCCGGCCCTTCAGGATACGACTCAGACCTGAAACCACAGACGCGACACCCAGATTCTCTTCCTGTCGCTGTTTAGTGTTGCTGATAAAGATCTAAGTGGGAAACAAATAAAGTTTTTAAAGTGACCTCCGTGGATGGTGAAGTCCTCCACGGGGACGGACGAGGCCACCTGGCCGATGTGGTTCAGGTTTTCTTCTGTCAGACCGGTAGAGGGGCAGCTCATGGACTTTGGCTGTCCGTCCAGAGTGAAAAAACCTGAAGACAACAACAGTTCCATCTGTCAGCAACCTGAGACCGGATCCCGACCCGGACCCGAGACCGGTTTCTCACACAGACCGCAAACAGCAGAAGGATTCTCTCCTGCTCATAAAACCGTGTTTGTAGCGATTAGCAAAACGCGTCCAAACGATTCTGACAGGAAATGACTTCACTGCAGCGCTCTAAAACACGCCGTCTACGATACAGAGACCGTCTGTAACGAGGACCCGCAGCTTTGAGAGTTCACACCTGAGAGAGGAGCTAGATAAGTCTGTTAGGCAGGAAGCAGTTTCACTTTATTTCCCCTCCGGCTCGCAGGTGTGTGCATCATATCTTAAGCGTTCAGTTGAGACGTCGTCATACTGAGGGTGTCAGTTGTAATTTGCTCACTTTAGGGACCTCAGCAGTGTGTCTGATACGGAGGTTTTAAATGCTAGTCCTTCAAAATGTCTGTTAGTCCGAGTCCAAAGACTTAATTTACCGTCATAAATGACAAAGACAAGCAGCAATGTCATAAATGACAAAGACAAGCAGCAATGACTTTTTATTTAAATGTTTCAGGTTTGTGCTTAAAGAAATGTCTGGAACGATTACTCGATTATCAGAATAGTTGTCGATGAATTTTCTTCTGATTGTCGACCAGTCGCTGCAGCTCTTATTTTTACGGTTACTTAATTTAGGCAGAGTAAGTTAACGCTTTAGTTTCACCGCTCTTCCTCTGATAAACATGGCATTAGCTTTGAGGCTAATCTACTTTAGCATCGCGCAGCGTTAGAAATGAAGGGCCGTTCACCAGAAGACCGTTTCAGAAATAAATCTACGCTCGTGTGTGTCGGCAGCGTCGCCTCCTACTGTAACATTAAACATCGAGCTCACTTGGCAGGTCTGGTGAAACTGATCCTGACACATTCAGTAACCAGACTCTAGTTCTCATATCAGTTTGTGAATCTTCTTCTAAAGCCTGCCAAGCAGTATTAGTTAACCACAGAGACACGAACCAGGCCAGGGGGAGTCCAGCCAGTGCTTGATGTGGAGGATCTTCTCATCTTTAGAGCGAGCGTGCGCCTCCTCACAGATCTTATCATATTTGGCAATTTCCTCCTACAGAGAGACAGAGAGAGAGAAACCAGAAGAGTTCAGTTCAGTCTGCACACATAGATTTCATCTCCCATCAGACTGGACAGACAGAAATGTCTCGTCGTCCTCGTGGATCCTCACGGACTTTAAAAAGTAAACCTTAAGTTTCAGACTTGAACTGAGAGCTTTCAGCGCTGAACCTCGTGGCTGCTGTGAGTTGTGCACCAAGAACAGGACCAACAGGACCGGGATCAGACTTTTCTCATGTTTACTGACACTTAAAATAAAGTTTCTGTAGTGTGACGTCGCAACGAGTCGAGTCCAGACAAGCAAAAACAAAAACTTTATTCAGTCTCCTGTCAGCACATCCAGTCACACAACAGTTATAATACAAACAATGCGTTCAGGTCTACTTAGCTTCATCTACTTAGCTTCATCTTCATTGTTCACATACAAAGGAAACGAAGGGACTCTGAACTTCCTGTTGTTCAGGGGCCGTATTACAGAAACTTCCTAACCGGTAGATCCTATCCTAACTGCTTGGTTACCATGGTAATAAGGGTTAGGATCTGATTTAGGAAAAAGGCCGTTACAGATGAACAGTTCCTCAGTCAGGGTTCCTTTCCTAACTTCGTAAACTCTCCTAACTTTAGGAGAACTGTTAAGCTGTCCTAACTTTTACTTTTCCACCAGCTAGTGTAACTCCTTTAATCCACTTGCTTTCTCTTTAATTGCTTTTACAAAACAAAAGTCAACAGACGGAACTTTATTGATTCTACCGATGTGTTTGATGACGAAACCCTCGTTAGTAGGAAGGCTGTCGGTGATGTAACGCTAGATAATGTCTCATTATAGGCCCATGATGTGAAGGCTTGATGTAACAAAAGGATCCTCAAGTCTTTGACAGGAGGAGATCGTTAGAGACAACAAATCCATGAAAAACATGATGATTATTATTATTTTGACTTCATTATTAACTTTCCTGAGATGCCGGGTTTCTGCCGGTGTCTGTGAGGGAGCACAGGAGGAGCCACCAGCCGCTTCATCTGCTGGATGCCGGATGTGCGGCGGTGACTGCGTCCGCTATTTCAGCCCACTCTCTCTCGCTTTAATCTCCCGAGTTAAGCGTTACGTGGATTTGGATTTCTCGACAGAGGTTACAAACACCTCTAAGTTATCTGACTTGAGGTTCAATGATAGTTGTTGTTTCTGCTCCATTTTCAGTTTGTGTTTAAAAAAAAAAAAAAAAAACGACCAAAAAACACACAATTAAAAGCCGTTTAGCTCGGCGAGATGAGAAAAGTGGGGATCGGTTGCTAGGTAACAGACATAAAAGTTGATAACCGTGTTGGATCGAGCATTTAGGATTTCCTAACCTGAGATAAGACAGGATTCCTAAAGTTAGCTAGGACAGGAACTTTCTGTAACACGGCCCCGGGTCCTTTTGTCCTAGACGTCCACTGTCCTCATGTCTAACAGTAACATTAACCTACGTCCCAAACGTAATGTGCTGCTGCTCTCTGCACAGGAGGCGATACGCTCTCGTTTAAAAGGGTTTAAAAGTCCGAGGCTGCGGGCTCCCCTCAGACAAAGCCCATCCCCTTTAGTTTACTGAAGTCCGGGATGCCTCAGGGATCATGATTAGGTTATATGATCACATGGACAGACAGAATTGAGTCAAGAAGCAGAGACGACACCAAATACATAATAAAGGTCTGTCCTGCGGGATTTATTAATCTCCGGGGAAACAGTCTCTCAGAACTCTCTCTTTGACCAGATCTCACACATTTAGGCTCTTCTGCATCTCCTTTTGATAATTAATGTAAGAAGAATAATTTAAGAAGAATATTAGTTCCAGTTACACTATTTCATTGTGGGGTTGTTTTGTTATTCATTAACTTTGTGCAAGAAAAATGCTCTACATGGTAGTTAATTTTAAGAGGGATAGTAACTCTGGGCTCAGATTAGGGGTGCAGTGATACGCTTGCTCAACAAGATATTAGAATAAATATCCTCTACAGTGTTATATGATTTGGGTGGTTTGGGGTTCCTCCTCCAGGAGATTCTGAGCATTAAACACTTATTTTCTGGAGACATTTTCCAGACCAATTTATGGATGAAATGTCTTTTATATATAAACAAAGGGAAACACAAAATTCTGGTGTAAGGTGACAATACAAAATATAAAAATATAAAAATATAAAAATATAATGTGGTACTTTTTTGGACAATGCACATTTCGTTTCTTAGATATTTACATTGCATTTCTTAGATATTTACATTGCATTGTATGTTTTCTTATTGTGCAAATAATCCTCTCTCATTTGTTATTCAACATTTCTTGTTGCACGCAATTTATCAGAACCGTTTAACAAATACTTTCACAGAGTGACTGGGACAAAATCAGCCATTTCAAAAAGTGGTGGGGACATGTCCCCAGCGTCAATGACCTCTATGTGCCGAACGATGAGTTTAACAACCCTTTTTGAAATGGTTGAATTCGTCCCAGTCACTAGCAACAAGAAATGTTAAATAAGAAACCTTTGGTAAGAAGAAGCAAATGTTCATTGTCCGAAAAGTAACTCAAGCTGAAACAACAAGCTGCGTTATATTGTTTTATTTCCAGCATGAATAGGACATGAAGCGAACCCCATACTGCGCATCGTCACATCTCCTGAGCTTCTAGTGCGTCATCACGCCCCTAACCCGAGTCCTCACCACCTTTCAACACAAAGTGACGACCCCGGTCAGATGGCATCCTGGGAAATGCAGGAGGTCACTAACTCACCTCGTACTCCTGCCTGCTGACCGCTCCCTCTCCGATCAGTTTCTCGGCGTACTTCTGCAGGACGGGCTTCTGCTTCTTGATCTGTTTGTACATCAGCGGCTGCGTGAACATCGGCTCGTCCATCTCGTTGTGACCCATGCGGCGGTAACACACCTGCGCACAAACACAGACACAGCGTGAGGAGACGGCGTCCTGCGGGAGTCAGCCGAGACACGAGCTGGCGTTCTGTATCGCTGCACTGACCAGGTCGACCACCACGTCTTTGTGGAACGTGGCCCTCCACTCGGCGGCCACCTTGCAGACGTAGATGACGGCCTCGGGGTCGTCGGCGTTGACGTGGAAGATGGGAGCGTTGACGACTCGGGCCACGTCGGTCGGATACGGAGAGGAGCGCGCCATACGGGGGTCTGTGGTGAACCCGATCTGGAGACGGGACGTGAGAGGGGGTCACGGCTCGGTCGTTCATCCGGCCGTTCGTCCGTGCGTTTTATGTTTGCGTAGCTTACCTGGTTGTTGACGACCACGTGCACGGTGCCGTGCGTGGTGTAGGACGGCAGGTCAGACAGGTGGAAGGTTTCGTACACGATGCCCTGTCCTGCGAACGCTGCGTCTCCGTGGAGCAGGATGGACATCACCTGAGCACACACACAGGAGGGGGTTCAGACTGACCACAGATCTGCGTCCGTTACACACCTGTCAGTTTTTATTCAATGTAGAAAGCAGGGGGGGAAATTAAGTTACCGGCTCACCTGCCAACGGGACTAATAACTCGTCTTTTTATGTCACGTGAACATTTGTTTCTTACTTTGAATTGTAATAATAATAAGATATTCTGTCGAATACAAACTTAAAGACGACACCAGATTGAAATTTGAAGCAAAATTCAATTATTGCTATTAAATGTACTTTAGACAGAACAGTTAATTATTTTATAAACTTACAAGATGCTTATTAATCATTCAACTTAAATCTCATCACTGCTCACTCTTAATCACGCTTTACTTTCTACTTAAACCTCCTCATTCATTAATATTTCTTTATGATCTGCTTCAGCCTCATTTTTTCAGATTTAAGGGGAAATATTTTAACGGGATATTTGGCGTAATATTAAATTGTTGGACCTAAAACAGGTGCAAGTGTAGACCAGTACGTGAAACCTGAAGACTGAAGGTTGATGGTGTGTTAACTAACACGTCCTGCAGGGTTGGTGAACCTCTCAGAGTCCGTGTGCGAGTCTCACCCTGTTGCCGTTGGTGTCGCCGCAGTAGAACTGCTCGGCCTTGGTCTTCCCCTGCACCACGGGGTCCACGGCCTCCAGGTGAGACGGGTTCGCCACCAGAGACAGGGTGATGTTCCTGTCCGTCACACGGTTGATACGGCGATGGTACATTCCCAGATGATACTTCACATCTCCGGAGCCCTGAGGAGGAAAAAGCAGCAGAGGTCAGTTCAGACTGTTGACGAGTCCAGAATCAGGTTTCAGGTTTTAAATGCTAGTCCTCTAAAGTTTCTGTTATTCCCAGTTTACTTCAGCCACCTCAAAGACTAAAGAGGGGCAGGACGGCGGTACACTCAACTAAAGCTGCTTTTACACCTGTAGTTCGGTTCCTTTGGTCCGGACCAAGGGGGGAAAAAGGTTTTACAAAGCGAGAGAAGACCGCAAATCCACCTCGAGTTATGACTACGAGGCGTCTTGTACAGCGATGACTCAGGTTTACTGTGAGATCGCCGTCACTAAATGTTTCACGGAGTTCTGGCACATTTATAAAACCGCTTTTGACCTGTTAATCAGGGAAAACACCTGCATGTACGTTACCAAATGATTTGTACAAATACAGCCTATAAATTGCTTTTTTAAAAAGCCGTTTAACTTTTTAAATAATGCTTAGATCTCACATTTGCTTTCTATAAATCCTGAGGTTGGTCACATCATGGAGGTCTCAGTGCACTTTACAGTAAGTTTCACCTGGACTAAAGGAGGCAGGTGTGACAGCACCCTAAGACCTACAGTGTCAGCGCCCTCTGGTGGCCAGGGGTCTTAATGTCGTGTAAAAAATTCAAGACTAGGGCCAGATAAGAAAGCTTGAACTTTTACCAGCATTTTTATTATCAACAAAAATAGACACCAATTAGAATAAAAGAGATTTACAGAGATGGTCAGTTTATTCCAATACAGGACAGATAAACCCGTCCAACATCCCTGCAGGTCGGAGGATGGAGTCAACCCTGTGGTCTGCAGACAGCCTTATAGATCCCCCTCTGGGCTGGTTTTACCCCTCCTCTCCTTATGGTGAACTTCTTATCCTCTGCTGCCGGCTGTTTACACGTATTGTTTTTACCAATTTAACACTTTTTTCAGCTGTTTATTTAATACTGTGTTGCTGTCTTTCTATAGTTTTCATTACCGGATAAGAAGTTCTCCATTATATTTCAACTTCAGTCTCACTGTATTTTTTAAAAAGTTAATACAAGAATAACATGTGTAATGCTGCATCTTTCATTAATGCTTGGTTTCTTACAGTAATCTTGATATAGTGCCGACTGGATCTGCAGTCTTTCTGCTCATCATCAATCTGTCGTCTTTTTGCAAAGCATAAATCTGTCGGGAATTTGTTCACTCAAAGTTCACACAGGCTATAAGCATCAGAGGCTGGAAGTTGACAATCGACCCCTTTAGCCGTAATTAAAGACGTAGTCTTAATATCAGCAGACTGATGCATCAACAGTTCCTCATGTAGTCATAACGGTAGATCACAGTAGAGCAGTGCGTGCACTGTCACAGCGTCTGCAGTCTGTACTCCCACTCAAGGATCTTGTTTCTGTATTCATGACTACAGTTCAGCACTTCTAAGTGAAGACCAGGCACATCTAGGTCTGCACTGCCCCCCCCCCCGTGTCTTAGGCATGCCCTCTGCTGATCATGCTATTTTAACCATAACCTGACTTTGTGGAATAAGCTGGTGTCTTACTGTGATGGACTATATTGATGTATGTTTTTTCACTAATTCTGCTTCTATATTTTCCTTAGCTGGTGTTTTTGATGCTGCCTTGCTTCCTCACTCTGTTAGATACAGAGAGGAGCACACACACTCAGAGCTGTAGAGCTTTAACACTGCGATCCTATAAAATAACACTTTAAATGATGACAATGCACCACTGCTCTAATAATTAATAGTAACATTTTAGGCTATAATGTTCTGAAATGATACACAACAGTCTCTAGAAGCAGAACGGGAGCCAGAGCTTCAGCTATCAGGCGCCTCTGCTGTGGAATCTAAGGAGGCACCCAAATGAAAAATCTTGGCCGAAACCGAATTTAATGAAAAACTTCCCCAAATACTGAACAAAGTTTTCACATTTCTGTCCATTTATTTTGCCTTTTTTTTCCTACACTGCATAAATTAAATATTCAAACTGTGCTTTTTCCTCAGTGTTTCCCACAGGATGTGGAGAGACTACGGTGGGGGGGTAAAGTAAATTACATGAGTCCGTTTACTTTTAATAGACACATGTAATATGTTTTATACTTTCTGTGAATATAATCCAGTTAATCTTATTTCCATCCTGTACAGACGCCTTATTTTGAAAACCGGACGTTGTCATATGTGTTTCCTCGTGCTAAATTCATCCAGTCCGACCCGGTTTGATAAATAATGTTGTAACGTGAAGACTTCACAGCCTCTCTTCATACTAAAGAGACAAACTGACAGGATAAAGTCTCTAACCTGCCCGTCAGCTCGCTCTGGGCCGCTTCACTTACCGTAAAGGCTGGAATACATGCGCACTTCAAATGTAGGCGCGGCTAGTTTAATCTCCTTCTCACAGACGAGAGACAGAAACACTTCTTGTCTAAGAAGTCAGCTGCAGATGGAGCGGACGTGCTGAGACAGTTCAGCAGAACAGCGTCTGCAAACTGCTCAGACACTTTAAAATGCTTCCACACTGCCGGCATGGCAACGGGACTGTTCGGTAAAATTTATTCAGTCTTTTGACTCATTAGGCCGAACACAGAAATTTTTTTTTTCTTTGCTATTTTCGGCCGAACATTCGGTGCCTCCCAAGTGGAATCAGACCCCTTTTTAGGTTTGGGAAGCAACCAACATCTCCATATATTTACAAGTAGGCTCAAAACCTCTCTTTTTCATAAAGCTTTTAGTCCGGGATGGTTTCTTCACTCTCTGAGGAGGCTTATATTTAGGGCTAGGGTTGTTTTATGATTTCTAATACATCTTATAATTCTTTATGGGCCACAGTACGCGAGGTAGACTTGTGCGAGGCATACTGGACATTTTTCCCAAATCAGTACGCCATCCGGCTATTTTTGGCATACTGCTGATTTTGCATACTACATTTGGGCCAAATCAGTACATACTACTAGTATAGTAGGCGGTTTCGAATACAGCACGTCATTTTTGATTTAACACTTAAATAAACTTGACAAGAAGACGCTGCATTGCCTTCAGTGCTTGGACCCCTGTATAACTGGCAAGAGGTTTGGTTTTCTGCCAACTGTTTCTCCGGTTATTTTTGCAGAACATTGACTGAATCGCAGCATGTGACAATCTAAAATAACATGTTTTGATCTGTGTCCCCCTCTCCTGTGGGAACAGATATAATTACAGCAGTAATGAAGCTAAGAGCAGTTAAATACCTCATCAGCAGATTCCAGCTTGGAGTCAAACTGACAGAAAATCTGTTCCAGCTCTTTACGGATCACGTTGGCCAAAACATTCAGACGACCCCTGAAACAAGAAACGGCGGAAGGAGGAGGGATGCAAACTGTGTAATACATATATAAATGAATAAATAAAAATAAGATTGTGTTGCGCGTTACCTGTGAGGCATGCCCATGATGACGTTCTCCACTCCGTTCTCAGAGGATTTATCGATGATGGTTTTCAGAGCGGGGATCAGAGACTCACAGCCCTCCAGACCAAAACGTTTTTCTGCAGACCATTTCTTCTGCAGGAACTCCTCAAACCTGCACGCAGATTAATAACATATAACAACTAACGCCTACTGTCAGTCATGGGTTCATACAGACACTTCCTCTAAACCCTGCAGGAGTGCGTAGGAGTCTGGAGGAGTGCGTAGGAGTCTGCAGGAGTGCGGAGGAGTGCGTAGGAGTCTGGAGGAGTGCGTAGGAGTCTGGAGGAGTGCGGAGGAGTCTGGAGGAGTGCGGAGGAGTCTGCAGGAGTGCGGAGGAGTCTGCAGGAGTGCGGAGGAGTGCGTAAGAGTCTGGAGGAGTGCGTAGGAGTGCGTAGGAGTCTGGAGGAGTGCGTAGGAGTCTGGAGGAGTGCGTAGGAGTCTGGAGGAGTGCGTAGGAGTCTGGAGGAGTGCGGAGGAGTAGTGAGGAGTGCGCGTAGGAGTCTGGAGGAGTGCGGAGGAGTCTGGAGGAGTGCGGAGGAGTCTGGAGGAGTGCGGAGGAGTCTGGAGGAGTGCGGAGTGTGGAGGAGTAGTGAGGAGTGTGGAGGAGTCTGCAGGAGTGCGTAGGAGTGCGTAAGAGTCTGGAGGAGTGCGTAGGAGTCTGGAGGAGTGCGGAGGAGTGCGTAGGAGTCTGGAGGAGTGCGGAGGAGTCTGGAGGAGTGCGGAGGAGTGCGGAGGAGTGCGGAGGAGTGCGTAGGAGTCTGGAGGAGTGCGGAGGAGTCGGGAGGAGTGCGGAGGAGTAGTGAGGAGTGCGTAGGAGTCTGGAGGAGTGCGGAGGAGTCTGGAGGAGTGCGGAGTGTGGAGGAGTAGTGAGGAGTGTGGAGGAGTGTGGAGGAGTGCGGAGGAGTCTGGAGGAGTAGTGAGGAGTGTGGAGGAGTGGAGGAGTGCGATGGAGTAGTGAGGAGTGCGATGGAGTAGTGAGTAGTAGTGAGGAGTGCGATGGAGTGCGATGGAGTAGTGAGGAGTAGTGAGGAGTAGTGACGAGTAGTGAGGAGTGCGATGGAGTAGTGAGGAGTAGTGAGTAGTAGTAAGGAGTGCGATGGAGTAGTGAGGAGTGCGATGGAGTAGTGAGGAGTGCGATGGAGTAGTGAGGAGTGCGATGGAGTAGTGAGTAGTAGTGAGTGCGATGGAGTAGTGAGTAGTAGTGAGGAGTGCGATGGAGTAGTGAGGAGTAGTGAGGAGTGCGATGGAGTAGTGAGGAGTGCGATGGAGTAGTGAGGAGTGCGATGGAGTAGTGAGGAGTAGTGAGGAGTAGTGAGGAGTAGTGAGGAGTAGTGAGTAGTAGTGAGTAGTGAGTAGTAGTGAGGAGTGCGATGGAGTAGTGAGGAGTGCGTAGGAGTGCGTAGGAGTCTGGAGGAGTGCGGAGGAGTGCGTAGGAGTCTGGAGGAGTGCGGAGGAGTCTGGAGGAGTGCGGAGGAGTCTGGAGGAGTGTGGAGGAGTGTGGAGGAGTGTGGAGGAGTGTGGAGGAGTGTGGAGGAGTGTGGAGGAGTGTGGAGGAGTGCGATGGAGTAGTGAGGAGTGCGATGGAGTAGTGAGTAGTAGTGAGGAGTGCGATGGAGTGCGATGGAGTAGTGAGGAGTAGTGAGGAGTAGTAAGGAGTGCGATGGAGTAGTGAGGAGTGCGATGGAGTAGTGAGGAGTGCGATGGAGTAGTGAGGAGTGCGATGGAGTAGTGAGGAGTAGTGAGTAGTGCGATGGAGTAGTGAGTAGTAGTGAGGAGTGCGATGGAGTAGTGAGTAGTAGTGAGGAGTGCGATGGAGTAGTGAGGAGTGCGATGGAGTAGTGAGTAGTAGTGAGTAGTGCGATGGAGTAGTGAGTAGTAGTGAGGAGTGCGATGGAGTAGTGAGGAGTGCGATGGAGTAGTGAGGAGTGCGATGGAGTAGTGAGGAGTAGTGAGTAGTAGTGAGGAGTGCGATGGAGTAGTGAGGAGTGCGATGGAGTAGTGAGGAGTAGTGAGGAGTGCAATGGAGTAGTGAGGAGTGCGATGGAGTAGTGAGTAGTAGTGAGGAGTGCGATGGAGTAGTGAGGAGTGCGATGGAGTAGTGAGTAGTAGTGAGGAGTGCGATGGAGTAGTGAGTAGTAGTGAGGAGTGCGATGGAGTAGTGAGGAGTGCGATGGAGTAGTGAGGAGTGCGATGGAGTAGTGAGGAGTGCGATGGAGTAGTGAGTAGTAGTGAGGAGTGCGATGGAGTAGTGAGTAGTAGTGAGGAGTGCGATGGAGTAGTGAGGAGTGCGATGGAGTAGTGAGTAGTAGTGAGTAGTGCGATGGAGTAGTGAGTAGTAGTGAGGAGTGCGATGGAGTAGTGAGGAGTGCGATGGAGTAGTGAGGAGTGCGATGGAGTAGTGAGGAGTAGTGAGGAGTGCAATGGAGTAGTGAGGAGTGCGATGGAGTAGTGAGTAGTAGTGAGGAGTGCGATGGAGTAGTGAGGAGTGCGATGGAGTAGTGAGTAGTAGTGAGTAGTGCGATGGAGTAGTGAGTAGTAGTGAGGAGTGCGATGGAGTAGTGAGGAGTGCGATGGAGTAGTGAGTAGTAGTGAGGAGTGCGATGGAGTAGTGAGTAGTAGTGAGGAGTGCGATGGAGTAGTGAGGAGTGCGATGGAGTAGTGAGTAGTGCGATGGAGTAGTGAGGAGTAGTGAGTAGTAGTGAGGAGTGCGATGGAGTAGTGAGGAGTGCGATGGAGTAGTGAGGAGTAGTGAGGAGTGCAATGGAGTAGTGAGGAGTGCGATGGAGTAGTGAGTAGTAGTGAGGAGTGCGATGGAGTAGTGAGGAGTGCGATGGAGTAGTGAGTAGTAGTGAGGAGTGCGATGGAGTAGTGAGTAGTAGTGAGGAGTGCGATGGAGTAGTGAGGAGTGCGATGGAGTAGTGAGGAGTGCGATGGAGTAGTGAGGAGTGCGATGGAGTAGTGAGTAGTAGTGAGGAGTGCGATGGAGTAGTGAGTAGTAGTGAGGAGTGCGATGGAGTAGTGAGGAGTGCGATGGAGTAGTGAGTAGTAGTGAGGAGTGCGATGGAGTAGTGAGTAGTAGTGAGGAGTGCGATGGAGTAGTGAGGAGTGCGATGGAGTAGTGAGGAGTGCGATGGAGTAGTGAGGAGTAGTGAGGAGTGCAATGGAGTAGTGAGGAGTGCGATGGAGTAGTGAGTAGTAGTGAGGAGTGCGATGGAGTAGTGAGGAGTGCGATGGAGTAGTGAGTAGTAGTGAGGAGTGCGATGGAGTAGTGAGGAGTGCGATGGAGTAGTGAGTAGTAGTGAGGAGTGCGATGGAGTAGTGAGGAGTGCGATGGAGTAGTGAGTAGTAGTGAGGAGTGCGATGGAGTAGTGAGGAGTGCGATGGAGTAGTGAGTAGTAGTGAGGAGTGCGATGGAGTAGTGAGGAGTGCGATGGAGTAGTGAGGAGTGCGATGGAGTAGTGAGTAGTAGTGAGGAGTGCGATGGAGTAGTGAGGAGTGCGATGGAGTAGTGAGGAGTAGTGAGGAGTGCAATGGAGTAGTGAGGAGTAGTGAGTAGTAGTGAGGAGTGCGATGGAGTAGTGAGTAGTAGTGAGGAGTGCGATGGAGTAGTGAGTAGTAGTGAGGAGTGCGATGGAGTAGTGAGGAGTGCGATGGAGTAGTGAGGAGTGCGATGGAGTAGTGAGGAGTGCGATGGAGTAGTGAGGAGTAGTGAGGAGTGCAATGGAGTAGTGAGGAGTAGTGAGAAGTAGTGAGGAGTGCGATGGAGTAGTGAGTAGTAGTGAGGAGTGCGATGGAGTAGTGAGTAGTAGTGAGGAGTGCGATGGAGTAGTGAGTAGTAGTGAGGAGTGCGATGGAGTAGTGAGGAGTGCGATGGAGTAGTGAGGAGTGCGATGGAGTAGTGAGGAGTGCGATGGAGTAGTGAGTAGTAGTGAGGAGTGCGATGGAGTAGTGAGGAGTAGTGAGTAGTAGTGAGGAGTGCGATGGAGTAGTGAGGAGTGCGATGGAGTAGTGAGTAGTGCGATGGAGTAGTGAGGAGTAGTGAGTAGTGCGATGGAGTAGTGAGTAGTGCGATGGAGTAGTGAGTAGTGCGATGGAGTAGTGAGGAGTGCGATGGAGTAGTGAGGAGTAGTGAGGAGTGCGATGGAGTAGTGAGGAGTAGTGAGGAGTGCGATGGAGTAGTGAGGAGTAGTGAGGAGTCTACCTGGTGGAGCGGACCATACGGGCCAGCAGCGTCCTCTTCTCCTCCAGAGTGAACTGCATCACTCCCGGGGTCTCAAACTTCTCCCTGATCCACTGACACTGCTCCAGGTCGTTGATGAACATGAACTCCACGCCGATGTGCTGACAGTACGCCATCTGACCAACAAACACAGCGGCACAGGTGAGCGCCAAGAGAGGAGCGGCGGCAGCACAACGACAGGGGCAGAAACTCTGAAAACGACCTCGCGCCCTTCAGTTATTGCCTTTAACCATGCGGTCTACTCAGTTTACCGCAGGTTCAGCCCGAGCCCTGTGTGTGCGCCGTGTTTACCTCCAGACGCCGTATGATCTCTTTCAGCGGCAGGGCGCTCTCCGAGCCTCCGATGAAGGTTGTGGTGGGCAGCCGGAACACCTTGTCCAGGTCCGACTCATCCAGACCGTAGAAGCCTACGCGACCCACGATGCCCCGCGGGACGGGAGGGGAGGGAGGAGGAGGAGGGGAAGGAGACAAAAAGAGGGTAGAAGGTGAGAAAAGGTTGAAGGAGGGAGGGAGGAGACACCAAAGAGATGGACAGACACACGAACAGGCCGCAGACAAATGAAAACATTAGTAATGAATGAATGAGCATTATAAACACATCATGGAGCAGCAACAGCCAGACAGGTGAGGAGGAAGAAGCGACAGCAGCACCAAACAGGAGTGTTAGGGGTGGAGGAAGGAGTGTTAGGGGTGGAGGAGGGAGTGTTAGTGGTGTTAGTGGGGAGGAGGGAGTGTTAGTGGTGGTGGAGGAGGGAGTATTAGGGGTGGTGGAGGAGGGAGTATTAGGGGTGGTGGAGGGAGTATTAGGGGTGGAGGAGGGAGTTTTAGGGGTGGAGGAGGGAGTTTTAGGGGGAGGAGGGAGTGTTAGCGGTGGAGGAGGAGGAGGGAGTATTAGCGGTGGAGGAGGAGGAGGGAGTATTAGTGGTGGAGGAGGGAGTTTTAGTGGTGGAGGAGGGAGTATTAGTGGAGGAGGGAGTAGTGGTGGAGGAGGGAGTTAGTGGTGGAGGGAGTATTAGTGGTGGAGGAGGGAGTTTTAGTGGTGGAGGAGGGAGTTTTAGTGGTGGAGGAGGGAGTTTTAGTGGTGGAGGAGGGTGGTGGAGGAGGGAGTATTAGTGGTGGAGGAGGGAGTATTAGTGGTGGAGGAGGGAGTATTAGTGGTGGAGGAGGGAGTATTAGTGGTGGAGGAGGGAGTATTAGTGGTGGAGGAGGGAGTTTAGTGGTGGAGGAGGGAGTATTAGTGGTGGAGGAGGGAGTTTTAGTGGTGGAGGAGGGTGGTGGAGGAGTTTTAGGGGTGGAGGAGGGAGTTTTAGGGGTGGAGGAGGGTGGTGGAGGAGGGAGTTTTAGTGGTGGAGGAGGGAGGTGGAGGAGGGAGGTGGAGGAGGGAGTTTTAGTGGTGGAGGAGGGAGGTGGAGGAGGGAGTTTTAGTGGTGGAGGAGGGAGTTTTAGTGGTGGAGGAGGGAGTATTAGTGGTGGAGGAGGGAGTATTAGGGGTGGGAGTATTAGGGGTGGAGGAGGGAGTATTAGGGGTGGGAGTATTAGGGGTGGAGGAGGGAGTATTAGGGGTGGGAGTATTAGGGGTGGAGGAGGGAGTGTTAGTGGTGGAGGAGGGAGTATTAGGGTGGGAGTATTAGGGTGGAGGAGGGAGTGTTAGTGGTGGAGGAGGGAGTATTAGGGGTGGGAGTATTAGGGGTGGAGGAGGGAGTGTTAGTGGTGGAGGAGGGAGTATTAGTGGTGGAGGAGGGGAGTGTTAGGGGTGGAGGAGGGAGGGAGTATTAGGGGTGGGAGTATTAGGGGTGGAGGAGGGAGTGTTAGTGGTGGAGGAGGGAGTGTTAGGGGTGGAGGAGGGAGTATTAGGGTGGAGGAGGGAGTATTAGGGGTGGAGGAGGGAGTATTAGGGGTGGAGGAGGGTGTGTTAGTGGTGGAGGAGGGAGTATTAGGGGTGGAGGAGGGAGTGTTAGTGGTGGAGGAGGGAGTATTAGGGGTGGAGGAGGGAGTATTAGGGGTGGAGGAGGGAGTGTTAGTGGTGGAGGAGGGAGGTGTTAGGGGTGGAGGGAGGGTGTTAGGGGTGGAGGAGGGAGTATTAGGGGTGGAGGAGGGAGTGTTAGTGGTGGAGGAGGGATATTAGGGGTGGAGGAGGGAGTGTTAGGGGTGGGGAGGAGGGGTGTTAGGGGTGGAGGAGGGAGTGTTAGTGGTGGAGGAGGGAGTGTTAGGGGTGGAGGAGGGAGTGTTAGGGGTGGAGGAGGGAGTGTTAGTGGTGGTGGAGGAGGGAGTATTGGGTGGGGAGGAGGTGTTAGTGGTGGTGGAGGAGGGAGTGTTAGTGGTGGTGGAGGGAGGGAGTATTAGGGGTGGAGGAGGGAGTATTAGGGGTGGAGGAGGGAGTATTAGGGGTGGAGGAGGGAGTATTAGGGGTGGAGGAGGGAGTGTTAGTGGTGGAGGAGGGAGTAGTTTAGGGGGGAGGAGGGAGTATTAGGGGTGGAGGAGGGAGTGTTAGTGGTGGAGGAGGGAGTATTAGGGGTGGAGGAGGGAGTATTAGGGGTGGAGGAGGGAGTGTTAGTGGTGGAGGAGGGAGTATTAGGGGTGGAGGAGGGGTGTTAGTGGTGGTGGAGGAGGGAGTGTTAGTGGTGGAGGAGGGAGTATTAGTGGTGGGAGTATTAGGGGTGGAGGAGGGAGTGTTAGTGGTGGAGGGGGAGTATTAGGGGTGGGAGTATTAGGGGTGGAGGAGGGAGTGTTAGTGGTGGAGGAGGAGTATTAGTGGTGGAGGGGGGTGTTAGGGGTGGAGGAGGGAGTATTAGGGGGGGAGTATTAGGGGTGGAGGAGGGAGTGTTAGTGGTGGAGGAGGGAGTGTTAGTGGTGGAGGAGGGAGTGTTAGGGGTGGAGGAGGGAGTATTAGGGGTGGAGGAGGGAGTATTAGGGGTGGAGGAGGGAGTATTAGGGGTGGAGGAGGGGTAGTGTAGTGGTGGAGGAGGGAGTATTGGGGGGAGGAGGGAGTGTTAGTGGTGGAGGAGGGAGTATTAGGGGTGGAGGAGGGAGTATTAGGGGTGGAGGAGGGAGTGTTAGTGGTGGAGGAGGAGTGTTAGGGGTGGAGGAGGGAGTGTTAGGGGTGGAGGAGGAGGGAGTATTAGGGGTGGAGGAGGGAGGTGTTAGTGGTGGAGGAGGGAGTATTAGGGGTGGAGGAGGGAGTGTTAGGGGTGGAGGAGGGAGTGTTAGGGGTGGAGGAGGGAGTGTTAGTGGTGGAGGAGGGAGTGTTAGGGGTGGAGGAGGGAGTGTTAGGGGTGGAGGGGGAGTGTTAGTGGTGGTGGAGGAGGGAGTATTAGTGGTGGAGGAGGGAGTGTTAGTGGTGGTGGAGGAGGGAGTGTAGTGGTGGGGAGGGAGGAGTATAGGGGTGGAGGAGGGAGTATTGGGGTGGAGGAGGGAGTATTAGGGGTGGAGGAGGGAGTATTAGGGGTGGAGGGGGGATTAGGGTGGAGGAGGGAGTTAGGGTGGGGAGGGAGAGTATAGGGGTGGAGGAGGGAGTATTAGGGGTGGAGGAGGGAGTGTTAGTGGTGGAGGAGTGGAGAGTATTAGGGGTGGAGGAGGGAGTGTTAGTGGTGGTGGAGGAGGAGGAGTGTTAGTGGTGGAGGAGGGAGTGTTAGTGGTGGTGGAGGAGGGAGTGTTAGTGGTGGAGGGGAGTATTAGGGGTGGAGGAGGGAGTATTAGGGGTGGAGGAGGGAGTGTAGTGGTGGAGGAGGGAGTATTAGGGGTGGAGGAGGGAGTGTTAGTGGTGGAGGAGGGAGTGTTAGGGGTGGAGGAGGGAGTGTTAGGGTGGAGGAGGGAGTGTTAGTGGTGGTGGAGGAGGGAGAGTATTAGTGGTGGAGGAGGAGTGTTAGTGGTGGTGGAGGAGGGAGTGTTAGTGGTGGAGGAGGGAGTGTTAGTGGTGGAGGAGGGAGTGTTAGTGGTGGAGGAGGGAGTGTTAGGGGTGGAGGGGAGTGTTAGGGGTGGAGGAGGGAGTGTTAGTGGTGGTGGAGGAGGGAGTATTAGTGGTGGAGGAGGAGTGTAGTGGTGGTGGAGGAGGGAGGAGTGTTAGTGGTGGTGGAGGGAGTATTAGGGGGGGAGAGGGAGTATTAGGGGTGGAGGAGGGAGTATTAGGGGTGGAGGAGGGAGTATTAGGGTGGAGGAGGGAGTGTTAGTGGTGGAGGAGGAGGGAGTATTAGGGGTGGAGGAGGGGAGTATTAGGGGTGGAGGAGGGAGTGTAGTGGTGGAGGAGGGAGTATTAGGGGTGGAGGAGGGAGTGTTAGTGGTGGTGGAGGAGGGAGTGTTAGTGGTGGAGGAGGGAGTGTTAGTGGTGGTGGAGGAGGGAGTGTTAGTGGTGGAGGAGGGAGTATTAGGGGTGGAGGAGGAGAGTATTAGGGGTGGAGGAGGGAGTGTTAGTGGTGGAGGAGGGAGTATTAGGGGTGGAGGAGGGAGTGTTAGTGGTGGAGGAGGGAGTGTTAGGGTGGAGGAGGGAGTGTTAGGGGTGGAGGAGGGAGTGTTGTGGTGGTGGAGGAGGGAGTATAGTGGTGGAGGAGGGAGTGTTAGTGGTGGTGGAGGAGGGAGTGTTAGTGGTGGAGGAGGGAGTGTTAGTGGTGGTGGAGGAGGGAGTGTTAGTGGTGGAGGAGGGAGTATTAGGGGTGGAGGAGGGAGTATTAGGGGTGGAGGAGGGAGTGTTAGTGGTGGTGGAGGAGGGAGTGTTAGTGGTGGAGGAGGGAGTGTTAGTGGTGGTGGAGGAGGGAGTGTTAGTGGTGGAGGGGGTATTAGGGTGGAGGAGGGAGTATTAGGGGTGGAGGAGGGAGTGTTAGTGGTGGAGGAGGGAGTATTAGGGTGGAGGAGGGAGTGTTAGTGGTGGAGGAGGGAGTGTTAGGTGGTGGAGGAGGGAGTGTTAGTGGTGGAGGAGGAGGAGTATTAGGGGTGGAGGAGGGGAGTGTTAGTGGTGGAGGAGGGAGTAGGGGTGGAGGAGGGAGTATTAGGGGTGGAGGAGGGAGTGTTAGTGGTGGAGGAGGGAGTATTAGGGGTGGAGGAGGGAGTGTTAGGGGTGGAGGAGGGAGTATTAGGGGTGGAGGAGGGAGTGTTAGGGGTGGAGGAGGGAGTGTTAGTGGTGGAGGAGGGAGTGTAGGGGTGGAGGAGGGAGTGTTAGGGGTGGAGGAGGGAGTGTTAGTGGGGTGGAGGAGGGAGTGTTAGGGGTGGAGGAGGGAGTGTTAGGGGTGGAGGAGGGAGTATTAGGGGTGGAGGAGGGAGTGTTAGTGGTGGAGGAGGGAGTATTAGGGGTGGAGGAGGGAGTATTAGGGGTGGAGGAGGGAGTGTAGTGGTGGAGGAGGGAGTATTAGGGGTGGAGGAGGGAGTGTTAGGGGTGGAGGAGGGAGTGTTAGGGGTGGAGGAGGGAGTATTAGGGGTG